CACTTGCTGGCAGGATTCATGGGTGATCCAATGGGGCACCGAAATTCACTCGCAAATTCAGCTGAGTTTCGCAAAGGTCCGTTTACAAGCAGGCGAGTCCAGGTGTGATTCTGTCGGGCACTGTAGAGGTATACTTCTGGAGTCCCTTGATTGTCCCTAGGACGAATCTCGTCCAGACTGCAATGCTGCTGGGCATAGGCTAAGAAGAAAAGAGCCGTGTTTGAGTAGTTAAGATCGGGCAGAGTTTCCTTCGTCAGCTTTGTGAAGTCGTTGTTTGGCTCCTGGAAACCCAGCCAGTTTAGATACGCCCGAAAGGCGACATTGATGGCTGCACTGTCCGTGATCAGTTGCGTGGTAGCACTTACATTGGGCCTCAAATAATTATCCACCTGGCGGGCAAAGCAATTGCTTCGAATGTGATATTGCCAGGCCGTTTGACCATCCCAATTATCCCGTTCGAGCAATCCCACCGACCAATGCGGATCGTCGAAAGCCATCACCAACTGTTGCGCCAGCTTAACGCCCAATGTGGCGTAGCGGATGGCATGGCCGTAGTGAGGATCGTAGGCCGGTGGCTGCAGCAGGGCCAATCCCATATCCAAACGTCGCTGAACTGGTCTCAGTCGCACCCTGGCCTCATAGGCCTCCACGGGATCGGAGGGAGCAGGCACAAACTCTTCAAAAAGACGATTGTTTCTTTGGGACTGAACCACTCCCAGCAGCTGGCGCAGATTTTGCCAATAATTGCCGCGTTCCAGCTGCAGTTTGAGGATCACTGGACGCTCGTAAGTGGGCAGCTGCAGCTTTAAGTTCCTTAGTTTTTCCTGACCCACCCGCTGGCTGCCCTCCACCAACCATTCCGCACCCAGACTTTGCCTCAGAGCTGTCTTTAATGTATCATAGAGATTGTCCAAATGCACTCTGCTATCTTCACTTCCAAACTGGCGGGCATATAATTCACCCAATGCCGTGGGAAGTAGTTCTTTGGTTCGTTCCAAGCACGCCCGCTTCCTTAACTGTGGGCGATCGTCCAGAGGAAAATTCAGAGCAGACACCGCTCGGTACATTATATAGTTTGCCACTAGACTGATGTTGTGGGCACCCACAGTGCGTTTAAGTTGGCGAAAATATTCCGGTGCTGCCATGTAAACGGGCTTATAAATATCCTGGCCAAAACTGGCCCTTACATATGATTCCAAATCTAGTTCATATGAATTCGAAAACTCACGCAACGTTTGGCGTGTGTAGTTGGCTAGGTAGAGCTGCTCTTCAGCATCCCAGGGATCAAAGGATCCACCTTTCATCCCGCCACATAGCTCGTGCTCGAAACTGAGGATGTCGGCAGCCAGACGAGCAGATTCCTCATGTCCCAATGCCAACCAAGCCTTAAGTTCGGATGCCACGCGATGCTCAAGGGGTTCGTAAATGGAGTCACGAATATCTGAGCGATTCCGGGTGCACAGCTCGGTTGGAATCAACGTGCTGGGTTCGCTTAAATACAAGCTGTTCTCATTTACATTGCCATAGTTATAACCCACTCGGAGTCCAATCAGAATGTCCATTCCATAGCGCAGCCGTAGACCACCTAGCACGCCAAGCCAATTGTAATCGTGGTGATGCACTGCCCATTGGGAGCCAGGAACAGCTGGAAATCCTCCATTCTGGGTGATGAACTCGCTGAGGAACTGCTGCTGCTGCTGGCTCTGATGAGCCTGCGCCGATATGCAGGACTTGAATAGCTCCTTGGCCTGTCGAACTATGACGCTATCCTCTCTCCGCACAGCCTCCTCCACGAGCACAAGAAGCTCCCGGTCCGTTTGCTGCTGCAGTTGCTCCTGTGGCGTTAGAGTTGACTTCCAGTTGCCGCAGGCATAGGCGTAGAAGTCCACACAGGGATCGATGCTTTTGTTCACATGACTACCCATTTCCTGAGCTTTTGAATGTCGTACCGTCTGTTCCGATTGGTAGATCCGCTGGAAGGGCGGTGGTAGATCCTCGCCAGAAACCAAGACATTTAGCTGTAGGTGTGGCAGCCAGAGCAGCCATAAAAATACTGTCGTCCAACACGGGTCCGACATGCTGCCGGAGCTCGGTGAAGCTATCGACTGCCTTCGCCACTCACAATCGCATTCCAGCTGCCGAGAGTCCGAGTTGATATGACCAAGGGTCAGTTGGGGTTATCAGCCATCAAGAGAGTGAAGCGGGCAGAGAAGAGATTCGCTTCCAGAATCTGATTGGATCGTTGTAAGAGCTTCTGTAATGCAGGAATTATTTGAGTTATGTTATACTTAAACTTGGGTGCTCTTTAAAATACAATATCTAAAAGGGTTTAGGTTTGGTTATAGAAAACACAAGCAAGCAACAAATGCTTTTATTTCGTAATCTCGTATAATAGATACATGTTAGGCATATGCAGGGAAAGTTCTCCTCCTAGTAGAGCGTGCACTTAAAGCGGGCGTTCAGCTTTTCCTCCCTGGAGCAACTGTAGGCATTGGCGAATGGTTGGGAATTGGATAGCGCCGTGTTAACCCGCAGCTGCTCGGGAAGCTCATCAAACCGCTCCAAAGATTCCGGATAGTCGGTGCAGTAGAGCTGCGCATAACCCAGATAGAAGATCTGATTGTGGTCATGGTTCAGGATTGGCAGACGTTCTCTTTGATATATAACCGGTGTTTCGGCCGCATTCTTCAGCCATTGTTGGTAGGCGCGATATGCGATATCCAGGGCACCATTATCGGCTACAATTCTACGCAGCAGATCCTTATCCTGCACTGGCTTACCCTTGTACTCCACAAAGATGGCGTACTGCTCCTGGAAGCACTGGGTACGTCGAGAGTATGAACTCTCCGAGGTGTGATCCCACCAGTTGTTCTGATAACCATAGGCATCGTAACGCCTTCCCACACCATCAAATCCGTGAAGCATTTGGCGAGCGAGAAGCACACCCATGGTGGCGTATTTCAGGGCATTCGGATAGGCGGGATCCCAGAAGAATCTTGCCTGCAGGAAAGTAATCGGCACTTGGATGCGATTCTTCTGGATCTCGTAGTGCGGCAGCTTGTGCACTTCATCTTCTGTCACCGGGTCGGCCACCAACTTGGCCAAACCGCGTTGTGTCTTCCACTGGAGAACGCTCACCAAGTTCGGGTAAAAGTGATCCATGTGCAGATTAAGTCCGTGCATCTGGCGAATCAACTTGTTGTCGTCATGGGTCCGGAAATGCAGCTTCAAAGCCTCCAGCTTGGTGATGGCCTTCTGCCTGGTCTCCAATGTTAGCCAGAGTAAACGCTCCGAGGCCTGCAGATCCTCGCGAAAGACTCGCTTGATATCCGACCACGTCGATTGCATCTCATTGATCATCTGCATGTGGTGGAAGTTGCGATGGAACAGACTCTCCAGTTGATGGGGGAAGAATTGCTGAGCCAGCTGGACACACCAAATATCTGCTCTCTGGGACGGTGGCACTCGTGCGGTATCCAATGCTTCCAAAGCCTTCCACATGGTATAGTTGGCCAGCTGCAGCTTGGGGGTCTCCCTTATCACATCCACCAAATTGGACATGTAATCCTCGGGGGTCTCATACAAATCCATGTACAGGTTGTCGTTGAAAATCAACTGCAAATACCGGGTCACGTCCACATAGCTACCATAGGCAGCCTTCATCTCAGCGGCGGTCCTTTGGCGAGTGGTTTGCGCCAAGGTGAGAGCTGGATTGTGGGGCAATCCCTTGGCCAGCTGCTGCTCTATTTGGACGACCTGGCTGGCCACCTCCTGCCTCCAGTGCTGCGTTTGTTCCGGGAAATACAGTTTCAGCTTATCTTCGATCGAACGCTCGTAGAGATCCCGAGTGCCCTCGTAGTGGGGATGGACGAAGTGACGCCGTGACATGGGAAACTGGGGAGCACCGATCTTCAGGCGATGCATCTTCTCCTCCTTGTAGTCGACTATCACCTCCAGTCCTATGAAGATATCCACGCCCAACTTGCGCTTCAGATTGGCCACCACCTGCAGCCAATCGTACTCGTACTGATACCAGGAGGCAACACGTATCTCGGGCCAACCGCCTCGGAAATCCGTAACATTTTGCAGGGTATTCAAAGCGGATCGCGTGTCATTTGCTTGAAGGCGGCATGAGCCATAGAAGTACTTCAACTGACGATCGGCACTGTTCTCAGCTCCCCTTGTCGCACTCTTGAGCATATCGGCACTCTTCCGGATATACAGCTCCTGGAGCTCCTCCAGGTAGTTGGACCGCGTCTTCGACTTTCGAGCGGGATGCAAACGCGGCCAATTGGCGCACGCATAGTTGTAGAAATTATTGCACGGCTGCTCCTTGTCATCGCCCATATAGGCTTTGATGTGAGCCGCCTTGGCCAGTCGCAGGATCTCTATCGAATAGTTGGCGGCCAAGGAATGAGGCACTGTAGCATCTATGGCGCATATGGAAAGCAGGATGGCTCCCAGCAGGAGTCCAAGCGGTGGAGAGGCCATTATCTACGGCAATAGGGCTACTTTTTCCGTGTGATCCGTATGATTGCCGAAACGAAACTGAGCGGGAATCGAGAGATGCGTCGATTTTTGACTTGAACCGAGGCTTATCGTCACCACCACCGCTTGATTGGTTAATTAGTTCCATTAACCGTTGCAGTGAATTTGCCCAGCCTCTCAATTACGCGACTGACCTAAAATTCTTAAATTCTAATTTGAGTGCTCATTTTCCTCCAATTCTCCAATTCTCCCACTCTAGCATCTGATAATCGCGTTCTGTGGGCTGTATTCGCACTTGACCCTCAAGGTAGCCGCTCTCCGAGCTCCAAGTCTTATGTGTACTTGTACATATGCTATGCAAACGTATTAGTTAATGAGCTAATGGCTTTTCCGGGCCCAAGGTTGGGGCCGACTCATCATCATCATCCTGTAGCGTATAATTAAATGTTGTTTGTGCTCACAGTGCCTGGCCGTGCCGCTACTAATTTTTCCCCTTCCTCCTCTAATTGCAGATTGAAATTTTCCTCAGGCTTGATTTCTAAATACATTTTAACCACGGAAATTGACTAGAAATTGCCAGCTAGCAATCATCACCAGACAACGGCCATCAAGGAAACTCCACACACGGTAAGGGAATTTACTTTCTTATAGTGCACACAGCTGTCAAGCTGGTCAAGTTAATAGTCCAATAGTTTATAGTTCCTGGTTTATTTGGATAAGCTGTTTTAGGCTCAAAGTGATATTGATTGTTATTGCCAACACATACTTTCAAACAAGTTGACCGCATCTGTAAATCGTATATCATAGTATAAGTATGTATTCTGCACTCGTAAATCATAATGCCAAAGTGGCACTTTTGGAACAAAGCCAAGACAAAGTGCCATAACTTACTGCACTGTCATCCGTTTGGGATCCACTTAATGTTTGCCACCAATTCGCTTTCAAAGTCCCTTTTTTTTATTTGCAATGGCGCTATGAGAACTTGTCACTTTCTAGTTCGAATAAATAATGTAGTATTTGCTACAACTACGACTTAGTTACTAGGTTAATACTCGATGCGTCGCCTAGCCAGCGGTGGTCTTAAGAACTTGTCCGCTGAGACGACGGTCAAGTTCCACGGTATCCAAGGTGATGTTGTACTTGACATGATAACCATTGTTATCCGCCACATAGGTGGCCGTTTCCACATACACATAGTTGTTATCCTTGGCGGGGAAAACGAACGAAGAGGTTCGTTTGCCCGTGATGATCAGTTCCGGTTCCTTGTCAGATTCCTCGGACGAGTCCTTGATCTGCCCCTTTTCATCTCGCTGTTGGTTGGCCTCCCTAATGCTGGAAAGAGAAAATATTACTATTGTGAAATCAAAATGAAAATCAATCAAATACTCACTGAAATTCGTAAAGCACTTTGGTGGAGGCATGGTTTTGATGGATATAAAGGACAAATAATACGAACACCGACAGGCACTGAAAACATTTCAAAACATTTCTTACACCGCATTTTGTTTTTAGAGGACTTTGACTCACCGTAGTAACTCTGATCATTCTAATTTAAGCTGCTTTGAGGCACTGAATGAACGGAATCCCAGATGAGATGACGATATTTATTTGTTTTGTGTTCTTGCAGTAGTTGCAATCTATACTACGGAACTAGTAAAACCGGTCCGTAACATTGCAACTGAGAGTTTTCGACCTGGCGATCCGCAACCATTATTCTTCGGACAGATATAGAGAGAGATATTTATGATATTTCTGATTTTTCTGATCTGCTGTCGGCAAACGCCCCAAAACGGGTTTCCTCCATTGCTATTGGACCTGTGACTATTGAGTGGATTTAATAATTGCCCCCAGCAATGCTGATTGACACTAATTGCCTCTATTGGAGCGTCTAGTCTTTGGGGGGTCCGTCTGTGTCATCGCGGCTTTGGGGGAAAAGCCTTGGAAAATCGTTTGCTAAAGGATTGTTTTAAAAAAGAAATTTCCCAATCAAATGAGTATTAAGATCGACAGATTTATTATTAAATACGAAATTGAAACAAGCTTAAACCTTGAGTTAGTTATTGATACAAAACCTCGACGAGATTTACTTAAAATCATGAAATATCAAGATCCTTTGCAAACAATTTTCAACAATGAAATACTGAAGGTATCCTTTTAGCCCAAGATTGTTAGTACTTTCAGGAGCTGCGCACTCAGTCGAGTTCCGATACCCAAGGGAGGGGGTTGGCACTCCACCGGAAGATTAGGCACATTTCCCTCATATGTTCCTCTGTTGAACTGGGTTGCAGTTGAAGTGGAAATCGGTGCAAGTGTCGGTAAAGGTACCACTGGTCTGCCATTAACGACTACAGGATCAATCGGCATACTACTTGGTTGTTCAGATGGCGAGATCAGGGAGTGAACCCTTTCCGAAGGAGCAGCCTCCATAGGTCTGCATGGTTTTGAATTTGCTGGCGGCTCGACAGAGTCCCTTGATGGGTTTAAAAATAGCAGGCTGATGCCAAAAGCATTGGCAAATGCCGCACAGCCGAGTAGGAGGACTAGAATCTATATATGAAGTTAGTTATTGTAACGTTATAAAATCCGGTTCGCTTGTATACTTACACTCTGTTGCATTTTAAAACTGATACTGAAGCTATATCTCTCTTACTGTTCGTTTTATATTGAGCCCCTTGTTAGTTAGTAATTCATAAAATTACCCATTCAGATATATAGCGACTGAAAACGGGTTCAGTGTTATGACAAATAGCGAGTGACGTTTAAGAGAGTCAAGAAAGAATTTTTCTTGGTATCAAGAATTTATTAGATATTTTGTAACTTGTAAATGAAAACTTCTTATTCATCCCGTTTGAGTTTTAACTAACGTTTTAAGTGTTTTGGCATCTAATCGTGATCCAATACCATCCGGAAGGGTTTCGCAATCATCCTGGGTTTGGTCTTCCGTTTCCAAGAGAGCTTCGGTAGTTGTTGAAGTGGAAGTTGGCCTTAGAGTTGGTAGTGGTACAAGTTTTTCAATTGGTATTGAATTGGGTACAATTTCATCAACCTTTTCTTTAATTATTCGCAGTGCCTTTGCAGCCAATGGAATTATTTCTCTAATACCGCTGTGAGGTACACTCCTTTGATCATCTTCACTGCTAGCTTGAATCGGGCTTAAAGTGGAAGTGGGTTTAAGTGTTGGTAGAGGCACAACCCCCCTCTCCTTTTTATCGGGTATTTTATTAATATTAGTGTTGATTTCCGTGGAACTTATAGAGGAGCTGGGAGCCAGAGTTGGAAGGGGTACAGTATCTCTTGTGCTGGCAACTCCAAGAGAAATGGTACGTTGCTGCAGTTCATTTGGCTCTAAAGTCGTAGTTTCAACGGGCTTGCACTGTTTAATGGTCGATATGGCCTGCTTAGACGAAGGCTGATCATAGTTTTCATTGGAAGATGGTCTATTTGATGCCGTTAGGAAAAGTTGGCTTAGACCACCAGCATTTACAACGGCGATCCAGCCAAGCAGCGCAAGTATAATCTATAGTAGTTGAAATTATTAGCGCTATTTATCAATGCAATCCGGTTTAATTGAATACTTACACATAGTTGCATATTCGATCTGATACTGAAGCTCGATCTCGCTAGCAGTGATTTTTATATCGAATTCCCAGTTAGTGAGATTCCCATTAGAATAGGAATTGAATGAAAACGAGTTTAAATTGTTAAGTCAGTTTTGCTTTAATCAATCAACTTAGAATTTTTCTTCTTAGAATTTTAACGACTTTCTTTGTATGTATTTATTATTGAAAGGAAGTTTATATAAATGTTATTTAATGAATTTCATGTTTCACTCAGCTATACCCTCTCCTTATCATATTTTATAACCAGTGTTTGCAGAGTTCTCGCGTTCAATCGTGATCCAATACCCTGTGTAATGGGTTCGCAATCATCTAGACTTGTATCAACTACTTTTACGTTTTTGCCAGAAGTTGTAGTTGACTCCGGAGTAACTGACGCGACTTTAGGAGTAATGCCTAGTCCTTTTGGCTTTGAACTCGAAGTTTCGATGGGTTTGCAGGGTTTTAAACTCGGTTTCTCCTCCTTGTTTACATTAGGTAATGGGGTTTTTGATTCCAGTTGACTTGTGCCAAGTGAATTTCCAACGGCTACCAAGCCCAGGAGCAATAATATAAACTATGGAATACATTTATTACCACTTTTTCACAATCCGAGTTACTTGTAAACCTACCCGCAACTGCATTTTCGATTTGATACTAAAACTTGAACTGTCTGGCACTGGCTTTTATATTGAACTTATAATGCTAATAAGTAGATAATTATTGAAAACTGGTTTAGATTACTTTCTAGATTACAGCACATACTTCGAGGCGCATTACAGAACAAAACAAGAGAACAAGTCGAGTTCCGCGTTACTCAGCTAGTGGAAGTGCAAACGAGAAATTTCAACATTTTGTGGAATATCGGTAGAAACTGGGAAAAAAGTGAGAGTGGCAACATGGCAACATTTTTTTTTTAATTAAAAAAATTAATTTTTAAGTTAAAACACAAATTTTTAGAGAATTGCGCCAGAAACATTTAGAGGTATGCCACTTCAAAATCCGATTAAGATAAGTTGAGTTATGGGACCATTACTTGGGCCATTACTTAATTTTTTCGAATTTGTACAACATCATAACGATCTAGTTTCTACTCTATGAGAAACAGGTATGAAAGGGAATGAAAAATATTATATTTTATGAACAAAAAAGCAAGTATTCCAAGTAGAGCTGCTCTAAGTAGGACACTGTTCTTTAGGTTTAGATTAAGCTTTGAGTAATTCTTCTGCTCTTTAAATATTCGAAAATGATTGGCCAGATTCTTTTTGATTTCCACGTATGTATATCTTTTATAGACTTAGGAATCAGTGTACTTTGTTTTCTGTGCATAGATTCTCTTGTTTTGTTTCTAGGTGACATTTCCATTCAAGTTGTGTATAATATCATTGAAATGTCATACTCTTGATTAAAGATGCCGTTGAATCTATCGATCGATATTAGAAGCAAAAAGTTAATAGATATTGATTTAATATCGTTTACATTATAGAGCTGAACGCGATACTTACAATCGCATTTGTTTTAATTTTGTTACTAATAGATTAAACTTAGATGTAACTGGTTTTATGTTAAACGTTCAAACACATTCTTTTTAGGTAGGCAATCATCAACTCGGTCAGATTTTTTTGCATTTTGAAAAATAAGTAAAGTTTTTCACATCGCAAGTATTAGTTAACTTATGAATTATTTTGAGCGAGCGTTTTTAGTACGGGTACACTAAGATATATATGAAAAGGGTCCGTAGGGTCTCTATTATAATTTGTTGCGTCATCTGATGAATCCTTGGCATTCAAATCCGTAAAAGAAACCAATGGCTTGGATGTAAATTCCTTCGTATAGATTTTCCTTTGGACTGGCGAATGACTATCATAGTTAGGATAGTCTGAAAGGCCAAACGTGTACTGGATGCTCAAAAGCACAAGGAACAGAAATATTTTCTAAAGCGAAAAGTTGATTTATCTTTATATTTGCTTTCTTGAATTTTAACTATACACTGCTGCACTTACAATAGGTAGCATTTTTATGTTGATACTGAGGATCAAAATGATTGAGTTTCAGTTTATATAGACTCGACTTCAGATATCAAATTATCCAATCATATAATCCTGTTGAAGTCTGGATGGCGTGTAAAAGCATTTGATTGATCAGATAATAGAATGTTGATCATATCACGAATAAAAAAATTGAAATCAAGTCGAGATGTGGATACATATGTATATTAAAGTGTCTAGTAATATTAATAGATTAATAAATATAAATAATTTAATATTTTTCTGGTTTGGTTCCGAATTCTGAAGATCTGTGGGGATCAGTTAATTTAAGCGAGGATCTTTAGTAGAGTTGCGCTTAGTCTTGGTCCAATAGACTCTGGGTCGCAGTTTTCGTCAAGAACTGGATTACATAAGATGGTTGTATCTTCTGCATTAGATGGATCACTGGTGGCATCAACTTGAACTGGTAAATCCTTGGGAGAATAGTTATCCTTTGTTGGTTGTCGCCTCAGAATAGTCAGAAGCTTTTGAAATCTCGCTTTTGATTTCAAAAGTTCTTGTTCAGTGAATCCATTCAAATCGTTATCTTTCGCTCCGTGTTTGATGACATCTTTGGCCTCGTCATATAAAGAATATGAGTCCTTGTGCAGTAGAAACTTGGGATTCGAGGTGGTCACGTCCTGGGTATCCGAACTTCCGCCGCCCCAACTTAATCCCAATAATACAACCAGGCATACAAGAAGTGTACACAATATAAACTGAAAGCAAATCACATTATTATTATATGGTTATTACAGGGTTAAACGACTTCAGCACTTACAATCGCTTGCATGTTCAGTTCACTTCTGTTATGAAATTCCACTCGGTAGTGAGTTTTATATCGACGTGGCGCTGGTCGTTAGTAATGCATAAAATTACCCAGGTAGACAGATCGTTCGTATGTCTTACAGTTTTTATAGTGGGGCTAGCGTCCAGCACTTTTGTATGGGCGTTTTTTGAATTGGGAAAATCTTTTTTCGATCAAGCATCATTAATTTGTTCTATATTTATAGCTGTGAATGATATTTTCTCACGGGACTTCTACCACTTGCTGGTCATTACAGTAGCCCAGTTCTTAAAGCTGATTCACTCCCAGAGAATTTTGAATAAATTTGATTGTGATAGTGTGCAAACCATATAATAATTGCCAATAAGTGCGACAAACATCACTTCTTGGTAATTGCCACCCTCGAATGGCACACTTCATGACTCATTAGTTTTACTATGACTAGGAGTATTATGACTAGTGTTACTACGACTTCTAGTACTAGTTAAAGCCTGTTCTGAATGTAAACAAACGAAGCACGTTTTTTATACTCTTTCAAAGGGTATCTAAATTTCGTTTATTGGTTTACCATCAAACGAGTCGACTAGAATATACATAACTTGTTGCCTCCACACACTATTGATTTCAATTATTGTTTATTGCAATTGAAAGACTACTTATAACAGTTTGCTACACCCCAAAACTGGTGGGACTCCCAAGTATAAGCTTCGTTACTACATATTTTTTACAATAACATTATGTTAGTGTATCAACTTCCAGTGTAAAATGTAATCAATTGGTTTGGTTATTTCAATCACATTTTAATTCCAATATTCCTCGTACATCCCATTTATAAAGACATTGTAGCATTTACTTCAGGATAGCACATTAATAATGCACACACGTTGGTTAATTTTAATAATTGTTTTTAGTACACGGCTTCTATTAATGATCAAAAAAAAAAAAACAACAATTTTATTTATTACCTATTGTGTCACGAAAGGATCTCTCTTTTATTGCGTTTTAAGATACTGTAATTTCGTTAGATCACTTCTCAGTAAAAGCTATACTGTAGTAGCTATTGCAGTTACATACATTGAGATATTAACTTATATAATCCAAACTTAATCGATAAATTTCCTGAGGGTTCATGTGGGACTTTCTCTAACTGCGTTTCAAAGTTATTTAACCCGGTTCGATCATTAGCTTTAGCAGGAACTCCCTTTACTAGTATTCTCAAATTTCAACCGTATTGAACACAAGTGTGTCAATTTTAATACGAAACCAAGTCGCACGATGCTAAATTGAGGTTTCAAGGTAATTCTAAGGAACTCATACTTGATTACCATAGTTAGTGGAGCAGATAAATGGCACTATGCCATAGAATCTATTACAAAACCAAGCGGAATCGAGGATAGAATTATTCAAAGTGGTTTAAAAATCCCCTCCAAACTGGAGCAATATCAACAAATTCACGTAATGCAATTAAAATCATACAATGGATTTTAGCTTGAAATTGTTTATTATAGCAAGATCAACAATGTAGACAAATTAACAACAGGCTTTCATGCTCTGTAATAGTTTGGTATACTCTTAAGGGTATAGGAACTATTGACAATTTTAGCACGTATTGCCAAACATTTTCAGTTTAAAACACTTAAGGATATTCAGTCGGGAGACTTATTAAATTGGCTTAAACGACACTTAGGCTAAAATCTTCAGCACCTTGGCTGATAGATTATTGACGGGTTCCGTTGTTAATCCGTTGCCGGCATTGCGTTGTTTAGATAGGATTGTCCGAAGATACTCCAACTCGGCTGATTCCTTGCACGCTGTGTGAAGAATCCTTTCCAAGAGCTTGGGGATCTGATGTGATGTCTCGGGACTCCTCGGGAATCGGTGGTAGATGCAACTGTCTGTGATTTGCTTATCCAAAGTTAAGGGGGCTTGGCTGGTTGTCTGGCACTCGTACTAACTGGTTGTTTGATGTTTCTTCTGCCGTCTGGTAATCGTAACTGTAAGTTTGCAGGGCCAAGCGCCTCGGCTTTTATACGATTCTCGGCGAGCGTGGAGCGGGTGCATCCGCCCATGGCACACGACCGCCACTCGCCGGGTCGGGCGTTGCGTGGCATGCGGAATTTTCCCATTCAACTGCCATTGAGCGAGCAGTTCACAGAAAAAGCACCGAACTCTCCAATTACGGTCTATAAAATTGACACTATATTTAGCCCTTACCGTCATCTCGAAGTCTAGACGCCGCCGGCCGATCCAATTCAGCCTGTAAGCTGGCTTGGATGATATGAAATCGAAAACCAGCTGCTCGATGGCGCTGATTCACTGTCATGTTTGCATATGTTTCGTTTCGAATTACATGAGAATTATCTGCATATTTATGGCACATTTATGGATTTTGATTCACACTCGGACTTTGGATGATGATCAAGTCATAAAACGCTTTAAAGGTTATTCATTTAATGAAAATTTGAGCTTGATCATCGTGAGTTTGGCTTCATTCAGACACGCTAAAATATGGCACGAAAGTTCACTGGCGACCATGAATGTTAATAAAGAATATTTACCATAAAGATATGTTTTTTTATTGAAGGTCATGGACATCCTTGAACCGATTTTGCAATATGTTCTACGTGTCTGAGTTTCACAAACTGAGGAAAAATTCTAGAAAAATCAAAATCCCAATAAGTTGTTTAAAATTTATCAATAAATATATAAAATTGGAACTGTGTGAATAATACTTATATTATAATGATGTGATAATCTAAGATGTTATGCTAAAATAAGTGAATTAAATTAGTTGAAAATCTGTAAATTTGTTATGTCTTGATTTCAAAATTTTTCCTCAGTGAACTCCCAATACAAATTGTTCAAAAAATTATTTATAATGCAAAACACCCAAGATTACAAATAATTTTCGAGAGGGGATATGAGAGTTGAATCATTGAAGATCTTCATTTGCTTTTCTTACGCATTTTAGTTTTACAATTATTTGCTTGGTTTTTAGTGTCGCAAAATCAAATTCCAAATTTAAATTACTACAAAACTGATAACGTAACAATAATCAAAAAGTAATCGAAGTACTACACTAAAAATGAAAGCAAAGTAAATATAAAAAATATTTTTAATTTCTGTTGTTTGTGTTATGCGAAGCAAACTCACGTGTATCCCCTCTTCAAAATTATTTATTTTCAGACAGAAACAGAAACAGAAAAAAAGTGTTTTGTGCGCCTCTGCCCCAAAAAAAAAATAAAATAAAAGTATTCCAAGCAAAACTCAGTAGGCCAGAACTTAAATGCTCTAACCAAAGACAGCGCGATCCCGACGAACGACAAAGAACGAGGACGACTGAATCAAAGCAACCACGGTGTGGTCATTTCTGTACCGGTGTGCCGCTGCAGCTCCTGGTGCCGGCATGGGTGCCAATGTGTCGCAGCTGGAGCGGGAGATTGGCTCCGATCTGTTCCCACCGAATGAGCACTACTTTGGGCTGGTGAACTTTGGGAACACCTGCTACAGCAACTCGGTGCTGCAGGCCCTCTACTTTTGCAAGCCATTTCGCGAGAAGGTACTCGAGTACAAGGCCAAGAACAAGAGGCCCAAGGAGACGCTGCTGTCCTGTCTGGCGGATCTGTTCTATAGCATTGCCACGCAGAAGAAGAAGGTGGGCTCCATTGCGCCCAAGAAGTTCATCACCAGGCTGCGGAAGGAGAAGGAGGAGTTCGATAACTATATGCAGCAGGATGCGCACGAGTTTCTCAATTTTCTGATCAATCACATCAATGAGATCATACTGGCCGAACGGAATGCAGGACCCAGCAATGGGAATCCAAAGTCCTCAAGTCAAGGCGGCAGCACTAGTGCCATGGCCAGCAGCATAGCTAGCAAGTCCAGCTCAACGTCCAACTCGAACTCCAACTCCAATTCGACGACAAACTCAAATGGGAACAGTAGCAACTCGACGGGATCATTGAATGCCAACACAAGTGTGCTGGATGCCAGTGGCAGTTTGACGGCCACCACAACGCCCATAATCTCAGGAAACGGGACTGGAACCAATGGGGCCAACTCGGAGCCCACATGGGTGCACGAGATCTTTCAGGGCATACTCACCTCGGAGACGCGGTGCCTCAACTGCGAGACGGTGAGCAGCAAGGATGAGAATTTCTTTGACCTCCAGGTGGATGTGGACCAGAACACCTCGATTACGCACTGCCTGCGGTGCTTCAGCAACACGGAAACGCTGTGCTCGGACAACAAGTTCAAGTGCGACAATTGCTGCAGTTACCAGGAGGCGCAGAAGCGGATGCGTGTGAAGAAGTTGCCCATGATCCTGGCCCTGCATCTCAAGCGCTTCAAGTACATGGAGCAGTTCAACAGGCACATCAAGGTCTCGCATCGCGTTGTGTTCCCACTGGAACTGAGGCTCTTTAACACCTCCGATGATGCAGTGAATCCTGATCGACTCTACGATCTGACCGCTGTGGTCATCCACTGCGGTTCCGGACCGAATCGTGGCCATTATATATCCATTGTGAAGAGCCACGGACTGTGGCTGCTATTCGACGATGATATGGTGGACAAAATCGAGGCTTCCACCATCGAGGACTTCTACGGTTTGACCTCGGACATACACAAGTCCTCGGAGACGGGCTACATACTGTTCTATCAGTCGCGGGACTGCGCCTAATCCTACAACGCTATCGCCCATTAGAAGTTAAGTTGAAAGTTTCCAATCTCCTGTGCAGCAATGCCCAAAATTGTATGTCTTTTACTATCTAACCACACACAGCTATCAATAAAGATGATCAATAAATCAGCAACCGATTGGTCTAGGTCAGTGAGCCTTGATGGCTGTCGGGGCCAGAATCTCTGCGGCGGTTCAATCAACCCACTCAATCACCTGGGGGCTTGCCGGTGCGCACGTAAACAAATGTGCGATTTCCCGTGCCAAAGCGGTTTCATTGTGGCTCCAAGCTGGTTACTTACGCGACGCTTGCTAATCGCTTAGGTAACCGGCGACCGATGAATTTCATCAGAAATCCCCGCGTCAAATCGTTGGGAGGGTCGCGAGCCACCGAGGGAACTAACCACCGGTCACACAAACAGGTGGTTTGCCGCCAATAATTGCCCACCTTTTGGACACTGGAGATGATCGCGGGTTCGGCGGATCAGCATCGCCGCACACTTAGTCACGTCGTCCAATCAGAAGCACGTGAGGCACATGCACTAGTGGTCAGTGGAGTGGGAAATATGCAAATCCCATCGGATCTGCAGCATAGATCAAGTTTACAATTGCCAAGATTTTTAAGAACAGTTACCTAACCGATTAAATCGAAAATGACACATCGCCAATAATTGCCCATCTTTTGGACACTTGGAATGATGGCGCACACTTAGTCACGTCGTTACGTTAGGAGCACGTGAGCCATATGCAATAGTGGTCAATGGGTTGGAATACAATTACAATTGACCAGAATTTAAGAAGAGTTACTTAAACGTTTACGGCGAAAGTGACACATCGAAGGCAATGGAATGCGGCTAGAACAATGAGTAGATATTTTTACTACAAAGTGTTTCTCTATGTTATAATGTCATAAAATGTTCGAAGTTCCATATAATATTATGGGCCTGCTTTAAAATGACATTTATAGATATTTCCTATTTCCCATTTTCCCCTATTAATGCTGATTTCGTTTTGTAAGTGTCTATCTGCATAACAAATCTATTTGGCCATGGATAATGGAAAAGCTTTCACATAAACATATTTCCTTTTGCTGGAGAGAAAACTAACATTGACAGTTTCGATGGTTATGCAACATAGGCAACTTATCCACTCAGCGATGCAACAGAGATTCAATTTCGATGTTTTTGTTTTTTATTATCGTCATTTTCAAGGCTCCTCGCCTGCAGTTCGCTGGTGTTGTCTTGGCCAGTTATCTGTGGATTGGCAAATGACATCGTTAGGCAATGCCAAGCCCACGGAAAGATAGTGGTTGATAGTAGTTGAACGGGTTCATCGGAAAGTGAGATCCGTGACAGATTTATGCATTTTCCTAATGACGTGTGTTGAGCGCGGAGAAGAGTATATTTGAATGGGCTTTAATTGATTCGATGTGGTTTGCAAGCAGCATGGGAATGAGTTAACCCACGACCTCCAATTTATATTTGTAACCATAAAGCAATTAGTATTTATAATGACACATATAGTTAAATCAATTATATTATTCGAACGCTTATTATTCCGACCTTATGACCATCAATAAATTTATTAATGGTTAAATAAAACAAACATAGACACTATTGGTTCCCTTAGTTATTTCCCATATCTTGGGCAGATAAGTAAATGGATTTATTTTTACGTTATATATACTTTCTAATTTGTTGGTGGCGCGTTCAAATGAAGTTTCTAACGTGTTGAAAATACCTCTTTTAATTATTTCCCGGCCTGAAGAGCATTTAACGTTCGCCCGAACTTAATTTTCACAAATTTTAAAGTTTTGTATGGCTTGTCGTTGGCAAGATTTACCAATTTGTTCATGGACAAGCGTTAAACGCTATTGACAACCGAGGAGCGAAGACATGTGGATAGTTCGATGGTTGGATAGTTGGATAGTTGCACGCATCGAGTGGCTGCGTAGGTTTTGTCTGCGTTTTTTGTCGCCTGTCTTCAGACTCCTCAAAACTTGGGACTTCAGACTTGATCGATCGGTTTTATCTTATGGCGCGAGTAGACTATTCCGCATTTTATGGAGCGGTAATTACGCATGATTTCGACTTTCACTTTATGACAAGAAAAACCACACTTGACGCAATTTCTTTCGTCAATTTTATAGTACGTGAAGTATGTGTGCACTATGTGCGGCATGCTTTCGGTTTTGTTAAGTTGTTTTCCTCGTATGTGTAGCAAATTGACATTTGACATATTGCTGCTGTCAAGGTCTGCAAGTGGCAACCCAAACCAAAATCGAAGCACACCAGCAGGAGAACATCATCCATGCGGTTGTCACAGCCAACATCTGCTTCAATTTCATTTTGTGGCCGATTGTGAAATTGTCAATATGTTTCAATATCGTTCCCGCTGCTCTGTTGTCAAACTAGGAAGCGATTCGCCTGCTGGTTTGTGCAATTGAATCTGCTTTCAAGCCAAGAGAAGTGAATCCGTGTAAGTCTCAATTTTGTGCTAGGTTCCCCCTCGTTGATTTCCTATGTGAAAACTGAGCCTCTTTCGAGTCTGTTCTTCGGGGATGAGTAAACAATGAGGAGTCTTTCGTTTTTGACGCCAGTCTTTAATTAGCCCATTGGCCACATGTGACGCTCCAAATGCAGGCACCCTTTTTTCGCGGCGATCTTTCGAGATTTGTCAACGCGGCACTGACATAATTACGACCTCTTGGACGTTTAAATATGTCATTAAATATGCTTCTATAATATTTTCCCTTGCTGACGGCTGAATGATAAATGACCATGAACATCGAGGGGCATCGAGCTATCGGTAACATGAAACTTTCCTTTCAAATAGTGAAAACTGGGTGATTTCCATATGCGCTGAAGCCAAGTTACGCGATTGGAATAATTCAAATTAATTAAACGTAGTAGATCTTTTTATTTATCTTATATTCAGTAAGTATGTTTAATCCATATCATCAGTTTATTGGCTTAGAAATATGACCAGACATCAGCTTCTATTGAATTGAATGAATTTATTGGATTAGTATGATTCGCTGACATATCGGACAAATCCCATTACACTTTCTTCAACATTTCTAGAATTAAACCAGTCTAATTATTACTAAATACTTAGCTTTATTGTCATTTAGTAACGCTTACTTACTAACTTGTAAGCTGTGGTGAAATACACTTTTTATAAAACAAACTGACATTTTTGAGTATCAAGCATTTAGTATCAAGCATTTAGACGCCAGAAAATGGCCACATTTATCATTTTTTACTCATGGCACCTAAACTGGATGGCTTCCTCATCAAGGATTTCTCTTTTTTGCGTCGCAGGTTGTGCGCAGAATTTTTCGCGCAGCATGGGATGGGATTGGGATGGAATATGGGATGATGGGATGATGACCCTTAGCCGGGAGCAAAGTGCAGCCCCGTGTTGGGGAGCCACATCCCATCCCACATCCCATGCCATATCAGCTCAGCTCATCCAGTCGTGGAGGTGGTGGACCCACCGCAAGGAAAGCGGAGCTGCACTTTTGTTTACTTTGGCAACTTATTTTTGTGCAAGACCATTTAAACACGCTCATGCGGGAGGTCAAGCAATGCACAAAAGATATATAAAGATGTATATGCTACTTACTATGTGCTATATTCGAGGGTGGATTCTTCCATGCTAATTTGGCGAGCGCCACAATTGGATCGGCAGTTGGGGGCAAATGGATTTGTCATACTTGACTTTGGCAATCGGCGGATGAGTCATACCTGCAACTGAGGAAAAACAACTAAATTTAATTAGAACTAAAGCCAAACCATCGATGTGTAAGGAAAATTCTGAAATCCACCTAAAAGTATGCCATGTAGTCTTTCTCTCGCCAGCTGCAGATCAATTATAATTCTCTCTTATTTGCGATCGGGCTGCTGTGTCTGGTATTTTAATTTTTTTAATTTATGGATTATGATCACGACCTGCTGCTTTTCCCCTCGCAACACCCACGACATATGGCATCCGCTGATCTTTTGCAGCCGACAATAATTAATTGACGAATAAAAGTAACAGAAAATACAAACAAAAAAAGAAAAAGCGACAAGTTTTGCGTTTGTATATATACTTTTTCGTATCTGCATGTAAACAAGCCAATTGCTGTTCATTGAAAGCGATCTTTATGTGTATCTTTTGTAACATTCCCCGTCGGTTTGAGGTTGATTTAATCAGCAGTTCACCAAAACAGCTGATAATGGATAGGGGGTATATGTATATACAGGGTGTTTGTGCTGGGAATGCCGATGATTACTTAATGTATTCAACTCATTCATGCCTTGCCTTTGTCGCCCATTCGAATCTCATGGGGGAAATCTATGCGCATTTATAATGCTTTTATTGGAAAATTCAGTGCGCTCCACTGACTGATCGCCTGTTTGTAATTGTTAATGAGCACTTGTGCGTCGCCCCCGTCCTTTGAACCCCCCTCGAACTCTGATTCTATGATATAATTTTATGTTCGGTGTTGGGTTTCAAAGAGGGTGGCACATGGCTGTTTGCTTTGGTTGCAGCACGTGCACATGCGCTGTGCCGGGGAATCCGATCTTCATCCTGCCGGAAGAGGCGTCTTCAGGCTCTTCGGGCTCTATTTACCACCATCGCAGTGGAGGAGGGATGTTTGTTTGGCCGGACCAAGTGGGCACTTGGCTTCCCACTCGAACAGCTTCATTAGGCACAGAGATAAATCAAAATCTGCAGTTGATTTACTTGCCAGATGGTCGGCGCTTATCGCAGTGATTTATTCGGCTGATGAGGAAAATATTACAAATGGTTTTTAGTAATTTAGAAATTGTTTTATATCTAGGGGAATCCTATCTGTGACAAGCTGAAATGATTGATCGTTAAGTACAAATGTTAAAAGTGAAATAGTTATTTATTTATTTGAAATCAGTTCAGACTATCATAACCAAATGGGCTTAATAATAATCTTTCATTAATCATCAACGATGACTTGTTACTTACTACTTGTTTGTATAGTTAGTTTAGATTTTAGAAGAGATTAAAGTTATTTATAAATGCTATTTGAACGGGTGTTGTATTCGGTTCTTTAAAGGAAAATTGCTATCAGTCTTAGACATCAAACAATAATAAAGCGTGTTCATATATATT